CCATCTCCCCTCACTTCCCTCCCATCTCCTGCCCGTCGGAAGCCCTGAGACAGTCTCAGAGGTTTAAGGACCCCAGTTTTATTCTACAGCCTCTGCCCTGATATGAAAAGATGATCCTTCTTGTGGGCGTCAGTCTTTTGCTTGCCTGTAAGTACACTTGTTTACGTCCCTTACGGTGTATCACCCATTTCCCCTTTTCTGACTTTCCAAGCCTTGGTCTCTTTCTCATTCCCACTGGGTTTCCCAGCAATTTTCTGCCTTTAATTTTCATCTGTGTCCTTCTCCTGCCTTTGACCTGTGAGTTCCTTCTGGGTGGTCCTTTGTGGGACCTGGCGCCTGTGGAGTGCAGGACTTCACTGTGTTCTTATTTCCTTCCGTCACAGGTAAGGGTGTGCTGTCTGCCAAAGTGACCCAGACGTCCCGGGACCAGACAGTGGCGAGTGGCAGTGAGGTGACATTGCCCTGCACTTTCGAAGCCGAATACTCAGATCCAGGTTTATACTGGTACCGAATGAGGCCCGGTTTTTCCCTTGAGTTTGTCCTGTACAGGGATAACACTGAATCCCTTAATGCGGATTTTGCTCAGGGTAGGTTTTCTGTGCAGCACAATGAGACCCAGAAAACTTTCCACTTGGTGATCTCCTCAGTGAGGGCTGAAGACAGTGCCACTTACTACTGTGCTCTGGAGTACCCACAGTGATGCAGGTGCCCATGAAGTCTGCACACAAACCCCCGGGGAACAGGCTGGCAGAGCTGCCTCTCAGGGCAGCACACATCCTTGGACACAGCATCCTTCATCCTCATCGTTTTGTGGTCCATCCTGGCCTTTAGGGGAGCCCTAATAATGTCTGCCAAATAAGAAAAGGTCTGATCACACCCAGGGGAGCACCTTGGCTTCAGATAGAGCAGACATCTCCCTACTTCTGATTCAGGGTGCCCTTGCTGCCTGAGTACCTGTGGTGGGGACAGGAGGCTGTGCATCTGAGGGACCCCAGGGCCAGGTGTGCCTGGTACAGAGCCTGACTTGTGCTGGGAAGGAGCACAAGGAGAGGGCAGATGAAGGGCCAGTCTAAGGAGAGCCCACCAGAAGTATCTTTAGTCTCCATCATTTATCTTTTATTGTGAATTGGTCTGTTTTCCTTTTGAAATTCAAATTGGACACAAAGTCACTTACTTAAAAAGGTTTTACCAATATGCCTTCATCTGCATCTTCTTGTGCAGCCTCCTTACTTCTCCTGGATGCTCTCCATTTTACTTACTTTGTTTGGAGAACATTGTCCTTTCACTGAAGAGCATTGAGATATTCCCAGAAAGTTGTCTGTGAATCCCAGAATCCCAGCTTCAAAGTCCCTGAATTTGGAGCTCAGTGGTGTCTCCAGGGAGGACAATTACCTCCAGGGGAAACCAACGATGTGATGTGAAATATATACACCCTCAGCCCTGGGAATCCGCCTCTCCTCCTTCTACTTCTACTGATGTCTCTGGCTTCAAAAAACTCTAAGAGCTGCTAGATGTACTCTTAGAAGTAGTAGATGCCTTAGACATTATTTTATAGGAAAAACACTGAAGTCCAGAGGAGTGAGGGACATTTGCAAGGTTAGAGAGCTGGTTAATGACAGAGCCAGGGGGGCGGGGAGGCGCTTCCGGGCGCTTCCTGTCATCTGCGCACTAGAAGGCTGCATCAGCCTGTGGTTTGGACAGCAGTTTATCTGGGCTTCAAAACAGGTGGATGAAAAGCAGTCACTATAGAGATGGGTGGAAAGGACATGGGTCAGGAAGCCAAAGACTCAGGCAAATGACTCAGCCTCTGGGGCTTCTCTTCCACAGCCTGCTGAGTATGTGTAATGAGACTCCCTCGGGGTGGTTGTGGGACTTAAGTGAGATGCTGCCTATGAAATCTCTGGGACACTGTCATCTGCAGTAGGATGGTCCCCACACCTGAAAGCAACCACGGTCCCCGCTGGCTTCTGCCGTCAATCTTTTCCGGAGGGTACTTTATGTGGAGTAAATTCACAGTCCTGTGAAATGCTAGGATGCCTTTTGCTGAGAGTCAAAGTAGGCTAGAGGTTGGCTCATTCACATGCTAAGTACAAGACAGTCCTGAAGTTCAGCCTGGATGAACTTCAAATCAACCCCTTTGCCTTGTTTTGGGGGTGCGCTGTGCTCTTGGAGAAGGAGCTTGAGGCTGGCACTCCCAATAGCTTGGTTCTGGTCCGAGCAATATCCCTGCTGCACTGAATGACTTTGGACAAGGTACACTCCGTTTTTGGGGAGCATATTTTTTTCCATCTGAAAAATGAAGATGTGATCTGTTTGTTCTTATCAACCTCAGAGAAACATTCTAACGTGACCCAGGGTAACAGATGTGAATGTTTTGGAAACAGGCATTCTTCACCCAAGGTGAAGTGTGGAATCTTTTAATGGTTTTTTCCACTAAAAGATATTTCCCTGGATGGACCTGGCTTATCCGTCTAGACTGTCTTAAGCCCACTGACTCAGCGTGCGACTGCCTCCTTGCTTTGGTTTGTGCTGTGAGGACATGATGCGGGGGTCTGCGCATGGCAACGGGGTGGGGGAGTTGTGCATGAGTGTTTTATCTTTCACTGGTAACCTCATAAAGCCCCATTGGACACCCCACATGGGTGCGCAGGCAACCGCAATGCTGGGTTGCTAAGGCTCTGCTACCTGGGTTCGCGCAGCAGGAAGAAGCTGCGGCTTTGCTGAGGTGCGAGGAGCAGAGCTCGGCGGCCACAGGGGGGCGGTGGTGGTGTCGCCGTAGCAGGGGCAGCTGCAGCCGCAGCGAAAGCAGGAAACCCAGGGCTGGGTCCCCCAGGCAGGAGCCTTGCAGGCTTGGGGTACAGGGAGCTGAGGTGGGACCTATGAGCTCAGTTTGGCTTTTGCCTGACTACCAGTGGTTCACAGCCCTTCTTTTCCCTCCATGGTCTGCAATGAGTAAAGCCAGAAGTTAAGGCACACACAACACATTTTAATAGATGCAACAGAGACAGAGAAAGATGGCAGAAAATCATCAACACCAAAGGTCCGATGACCTCAAACTCCCTGTGCACAGATGGGCAGGCGAGAGACAGTAAAGACATTGTTTTTAAGGGAAAACCTAGGGGTCTCATTCCTAGCTCTTCCTCCAAAACACTTGCACCGTGAGTTGCTTGAAAGCAAGGCTGATGTCTTATTCATCTTTGTACCCTCAGCCTAGTGCCTAGAACTTGGACTAATTCACGTTTGTTAAATCAATTAATAGCGAGATGTGCGTTTCCTCTGCATTTTATTCTGTTCTCTGCTAATAGCTCTAAGAGTATTTAGATGACATTTTAGAAACCCCACCGTCTGCACAGTAAGTATCAGGGAAGTCAAATGTAGTTTTGCTTGGAAAGTGCTAGAAAAAGCAGAAAGTTTGGGGCAAATCCAGTCCCGGATGGAGCAGAGTCTTTTGTGCTTTGGTAACAGGACCCCTGCTCTCCATCCCCCAGGATCTATTTTCCTCTTGGAGGATGGAGCTGGGAACCTGATGGCTCCCACTTTCTACTTCTGGAGGCAAAGAAAGTCAAAGGAACAAAACAGACTTTTCAAAGTATATTAGTCATAGGGAAAAAAAATGGGTCCTATATAACTGTATCCCTTTATACAGCAGCATATAGAGTAGGTGGGACCATAAGCTTCCACTCTCTAGGACTTCTGTCTTTCCACCAGGTTGAAGGATAAGCTGGATTCGTTGCCTTTAAGGGAAAACTAGTTTGGGTAGCAGCCATTTAAGGAAGGCTGGGGTGAGTCAACTTGTGCCACCAAGAAGTTGAAAGCCAAGGGGATAGTACCTCTGTAGGCTTTTGGTTTTTTTTCAGGGAGTGTAGCCGTCTCATGCCAGTCAGCCTGCAAGTGAAGGAAAATGGACAGAGTTGTTGCAGAATTGGAGACTGTCAGTGCTGGAAGGAACCGCAGTGGCCACGCAGTCTGGGGTCGGCCAGCACCTGCTGTAGCGGTTCCAGTGCAGACATCACCAATCTATCCCAGCACATTTCCCTTCTACACATGGCAGTAGTTCAGTTCATCAATGTTGGCACACGTCATAAAACCCATCTACTCTTCTTTAGTCATTCTTCACGCCTTCGTTTCTCAGATACGATAACCCAGACCCAGAGAGGTGAAGCAACCCGGCTCAGGTAACACAGTGAGTCAGTGACAAAGTCAGAACTAAGACCTAGCTCTTCTGACTGCTAATGTAGTGCTCTTTTCATACGGCCATTTAGCCTGTGTCATTGGGACAATTGGTAAAACAGTCACTTGGTGGGGAATGACTAGATATGCTTGCAGGCTAGGTTGGATCAGTCCAACACTTTAAGTCTAGGGTCGTTCCTAGATTAGAAGCTGGGATGGGGCAGGTATTGGAGGAGTAAACCTAGGCCTAATTTCATGTCTAAGATAACCCAATGAGAATGCAATTAATAGGCAAATAATTAACATCTTAGTCTCGACTTCACATGCATCCTGAGTGGCCAGTAGTGAGCTGTTCACTAAGAATGAGAGTGTAGGTTCATCCCCAAGATAGGCTGGTCTCCATACCAAGTCCTGTGATTAAGGATGGAGAGCCAGCATCCCCTTTGTCTGGGCAAAGACAGGTTCTGAATATTCTTCAAATGAAGCATTACTGATGGACTTGCAAATAGCCCATGGTCCTTTGGCCAGATAAACAAAAGAGCAAATAGAGAATACAATTTCTCCTTATTTACCTCCAATTTTCTTAACTTCTGGGTTGGAGGTGGGGATTATCAGCTGGTACATTATACCACATGGATTTTGGGTCTGGCTTGAAATAAAAAGAGAACAGGAGATGTGGTGTTCTGTATCTGAAATGGCCCACCTTATTACATCATGATATCTCTGTGTGTTTTTCCTTTCCCCAAACTCCTCACCATTCCTAAATTCCTTTTCTCCAGGGGCAGCATAGTTTGGATGGAGGTGGGAAAGGGAAGCAGCTAGTTCTTACCTTAAAAGAAAAATAACTTGGTAGTCAAGAGAAAATTGACAGCGACAGTCTTGGCCAACAGCATGCGGAACCCCAGCACCGAGAGGGACATCATGTTTACCTTTCCGGCAGGAACTGTGGTGGAACGAGAGTGAAAATGGGGCTTCAGCAGGAGACTAAATTGCCTCCCAGAAATTGGGCCCATGACACCAACACCAGCCGGCCTCAAACCACCATCATTCTTCCCAGCTGGGTGCTTCAGAAACCTAGTGAGGCACCCAGCGAGGCAAGCTTTGGAGAAACCCATGCTTGCAAACTCTGCTCCGAGAGTCATGGGGAACCCACTGGGCTCAGGTATGGTTTTTTGTATTCTTTTGAAATAGAGTGATTTTTGGCCCATCTGACAGTTGCAGAGTTTGCTTTAACCTCAGTTCTAAAGTTGGCCCATGGTTTCAACTAACCTCGAGGTTCATAGCACGTCTTTGAAGTTGGATTCTTGTTTTCAAGTGCCTTTGGTT